CTGACCAAGCGCCAGAGACAAGAGAAAATCAGTTTACCCCTTTGCTGCCCCTAGTCAAATGCTAGTAATTTCAGGACAGTCAGCCTTGGACAAGCCACACCTCTTGCCTGAGTCAATCAAAAGCTATTCTTTAGACATGTTTCAAAACTGAATTTTTCTGAACCAATTACAATGCACTAAGGGGTGTGGCTATGGACCACTGGCCCGTTTAAAAAAAATGCATCTCTGTAAAGCAGTGGTTCCCAAACTTGTTCCACCGCTTGTGCAGGGAAAGCCCCTGCCGGGCCAGGCCGGTTTGTTTACCTGCCGTGTCCGCAGGTTCGGCTGATCGCGGCTCCCAGTGGCCCCAATTCGATGCTCCAGGCCAATGGGAGCTGCTGGAAGTGGCGCGGGCCGAGGGACGTACTGGCTGCCACTTCCAGCAGTTCCCATTGGCCTGGAGCAGCGAACTGCAGCCAGTGGGAGCCGCGATCGGCCGAACCTGCGGACGCGGCAGGTAAACAAACTGGCCTGGCCCGGCAGGGGCTTTCCCTGCACAAGCGGTGGAACAAGTTTGGGAACCACTGCTTTAAATAAATGAATGAAAAGACTGACACTGTACATAACAGAAGTTTTTGTAGAAAGATACTAGCCTTTTAAAAAAAAAAGTGTTAAAGTTTTGCCTAAAAGAAAACTGCTCTAAAACTTATTACTTGTAAACTGTAAAGAAAGCTTTAAATACTTTATAGAATATGTACACCCAGGCTAACTTAAAAGAAAAAAACCTGCTTATGTGAAACAGTTGATAACACTTTTTACCAGAGATAAGAAGGCTATTTCTTCCCCACACTCTTTCTTTCCTAAATTTTTAAAAATCTAAATGCTGTTAAACCAGGTAAAGTTTTTGTCATAAACATACAACTAAGGGTAGCATAAAATTCCTCCTTTACCTGTAAGGGGTTAAGAAGCTCAAATAACCTGGTTGGCACCTGACCAAAAGGACCAATACGGGAAGAAGATCCTTTCAAATCTGTTGGGGGAGGTTTTGTTTGTGCTGTCTTTGTTCTCTCTCAGGACAGAGAGAGGGATCAGGCAGGAAAAAAACCCTCTCCTAAAACCCTACCTGAAATAAGCATCTAGAATTACAAAAATTGTAAGGTTTCAGAGTAGCAGCCATGTTAGTCTGTATCCGCAAAAAGAAAATCCGATGAAGTGAGCTGTAGCTCACGAAAGCTTACGCTCAAATAAATTTGTTAGTCTCTAAATGCCAAAAATTGTAAGTAAAGGCAAGGAAATGCATTAGATTATCTTTTGTTTCAGCGTTAGATTATCTTTTGTTTCAGCTTGTGAATTTTCCCTACGCTAAGAGGGAGGTTTATTCCTGTTTTTGTAACTTTGAAGTTGAGCCTAGAGGGGAATCCTCTGTGTTTTAAATCTTTTTATTACCCTGTAAAATTACCTTCCATCCAGAGGTGCTTCTTTTACTTGTTTCTTTATAATAAAGTTCTTCTTTTAAGAACCTGATTGGGTTTTAGTGTCCTAAAAACCCAAGAATCTGGTCTGTGCTCACTTAGTTAACCTATTGGTTGGTATATTATTCTCAACCCTCCCCAGGAAAGGGGGTGAAGGGACTTGGGGGGATATTTTAGGGAAATAGGAACTCCAAGTGGTCCTTTTCCTGAATCTTTGTCTAAATCACTTGGTGGTGGCAGCAATACCATCCAAGGACAAAGAAAGGATTTTTGCCTTGTGGAAGTTTTTAACCTACGCTGGTAGAAAGAAGCTTAGGGGGTCTTTCATGTGGGTCCCCACATCTGTACCCCAGAGTTCAGAGTGAGGAGGGAACCCTGACAGTTTTAACAAACTTTTAAAAGTTTAACATGGAAAAAAACTGCATTGGTCATTTTTGACTGAGATGAAAAATCCTGCAACATGACATAAAGATCTGTCTTTATAATCTAAGGGATGCTTAGTGGAGATTTAGCAGAAAAAATATTTAAGGTACACTACCCTAGCCTTTCAAAAATAGTGTTTGCTTATTTTTAAAATGATGCATCTTAATCGTAGGACTGGAAGGGATCTCGAGAGGTCATCTAGTCCAGTCCCCTGCACTCATGGCAGGACTAAGTATTATCTAGACCAGTGGTTCTCAAAGCCGGTCCACCACTTATTCAGGGAAAGCCCCTGGCGCACCGGACCAGTTTGTTTACCTGCCGTGTCCACAGGTTCGGCCGCTTGCAGCTACCACTGGCCACAGTTCGCTGCTCCAGGCCAATGGGGGCTGCTGGAAGGGCCGCCAGCACGTCCCTTGGCCTGCGCCACTTCACGCAGCCCCTATTGGCCTGGAGCGGCGAACTGTGGCCAGTGGGAGCCGCGATCAGCCAAACCTGTGGACGCAGCAAGTAAACAAACTGGTCCGGCGTGCCAGGGGCTTTCCCTGCACAAGCGGCGGACCGGCTTTGAGAACCACTGATCTAGACCATCCCTGACTGGTGTTTGTCTAACCTGCTCTTAAAAATCTCCAACGATGACGATTCCACAACCTCCCTATGCAATTTATTCCAGTGTTTAACCATCCTGATAGTTAGGAAGTTTTTCCTGATGTCCAACCTAAACTGTCCTTGTTGCAATTTAAGCTTATTGCTTCTTGTCCCATTCTCAGAGGTTAAGGAGAACAATTTTTCTCCCTCCTCCTTATAACAACCTTTCAACAACAATCAAACAAAAATTGTTCAACTTGTAAATTGTAAAGAAAGCTTTATATACTAAAGCATAATATAGAAATCCTCCCCTGAGGGGGCTTACAATAATTTTTTTTTAAAGCAGTGGGGGAAATTTTGCTGTCTGGAGTGGCTTACGACTATGAATGCCTATCTCAGGGCAGGCTGTCAAAAACAGGCCAGACACCCCAAACTGGTAGTCTGTTCTTTAATTAGATTTCACCAAGCCAATAACAAAAGTGAACTCTTGGATCTACTCTATCAGTCTCACCAGCAAGAGAGTGAGTTTGTGTGTGTGTGTTTTTGGAGGGGGGGGGGGGTGAGAAAACCTGGATTTGTGCTGGAAATGGCCCACCTTGATGATCATACACATTGTAAAGAGAGTGGTCACTTTGGATGGGCTATTACCAGCAGGAGAGTGAGTTTGTGTGTGTGTGTGGGGGGGGAGGGTGAGAAAACCTGGATTTGTGCTGGAAATGGCCCAACTTGATTATCATACACATTGTAGGGAGAGTGATCACTTTAGATAAGCTATTACCAGCAGGAGAGTGGAGTGGGAGGAGGTATTGTTTCATCGTCTCTGTGTATATAATGTCTTCTGCAGTTTCCACAGTATGCATCCGATGAAGTGAGCTGTAGCTCACGAAAGTTTATGCTCAAATAAATTGGTTAGTCTCTAAGGTGTCACAAGTACTCCTTTTCTTTTTGCGAATACAGACTAACACGGCTGTTACTCTGACACCAGTCTTACCTTAGAGTCACAAAGTAAAACTATTTCCCCATGTTTATTCCCCCCTCCCCCTACTGTTCCTCACACGTTCTTGTCAACTGCTGGAAATGGCCCACCTTGATTATCATTACAAAAGGTTTCCCCCCCACACCCCCGCTCTCCTGCTGGTAATAGCTCACCTTACCTGATCACTCTCGTTACAGTGTGTACGGTAACACCCCTTGTTTCATGTGCTCTGTGTATATAAATCTCCCCACTGTATTTTCCACGGTATGCATCCGATGAAGTGAGCTGTAGCTCATGAAAGGCTTATGCTCAAATAAATGTGTTAGTCTCTAAGGTGCCACAAGTACTCCTTTTCTTTGCATGTAGCATTTTCAAGGTGTAATAGGGCCATTAACCAATCCTTTGTATTATGATTTACCTTGATGGCCCATCTGATTTTGATAGTCTTTCTGGATGGGGAGGGGGATGATTCCCATGCTTGAGCTCACAAATTCAGAGCAAACATTTTCAAAGCAAAATTTATATATTTTCTTATAGCCTGGAATACCACCATTATAAGTGAAATTAAGGCATGCAGCAATTTACAAACCATAGAGTCCAAACACTAAATACATTCTGATAAGACTATTTTGAGCAAAACTAACATCCAGGTGAACTGGGCAGGTCTCTAACTATGGATTTGTTAGTTCTTAGCTAATGCCTGCAGTCTTGGCAAAAGCTGGCACCTGGTCTGTCAGTGTCACAGTTACGATAGATAACCCACATTTACATATGTCTTCCAAAAAAAAAAAGTAAAGTTTAAAAAGACAAAAGCCACATGTCAGCATGAAGGATTGAATGCCGCTTGTAAGGAGAGAGATGAGCATGTTTTCCCATAGTTCCTCTTGCTTTTTTCAAAAACTGTTCACTTTTGCAACAACATTTTTATTAGAAATAAAACTATATTAGCATGCTTTTATATTGGATCTACACATGACACTAAGGAAGCAGCATTTTTCCACAAAAAGGCACCCATTTTTCATGAAGCTATACTTTTGTAACTGCATGAAGATGTAAGCTAAAGACTTACCCAGCTTACCCTGGTTATCAGAAGAAACATATCCCCCACACTCTCTCCCCACCTTTTTTTTAAAAACCTGTGAACTTTTGCAACACAAGAATTTTTTTAAAATAAATCTATGGTTTTAAACATCACACTAAGAAAGAAGCATTTTGTAACACAGAGGCATTCTTTGGTTTCAAGTCAGAATTTTTAGTGATTTTTTTTGAACAAATGAATAGCAATTTCATTTACAAATATGTGCATTATCTGAAAACCCACAGATGCCCAACTATGAGACAGAGCCCAGCATCTTCACCAGGAGTTGGAGTTTTCAGACCAAAAAACAATCAGCTTCACTGATGTGAGGTCTTTTGAAAAGCATTTAGACATGCGTATTAAAGTAGTGTATCGTGAAAGACTGACACTGTACATAACAGAAGTTTTTGTAGACATATACCAGCCTTGTTTTAAAAAAAAAAGTTTTTATTTGCTTTTTAAACTTTTGCCTTTTTTTATATAACAGGTCGGGAACGGTGCCCGAAAATCCTGTTTGTTTTGAACATGACAGACATTACAGCATCCAAAATATCAAAGCCTTTATAGGAGCACTGTATTTATGTGAGTACTGGCATGCCTGTAAAACCACTGGTGTACATGTATTAGTGAAGAATGCCTTGAAGTGTATGGGGAAAGAATGAGATGTCCCAGCTGTAAACTGTTTTGCAGGTTGAATGCCTGTTTAGAAAGACGCAGAGCTCTGTCAGCAGACAGTAAAATTGACTGAAACTAGAAGTGTTTTTGATAAGTATGGTTTCTATGATGTTAAAAGTCATAGGGTATGTCTACACTACGGAATAAGGTCGAATTTATAGAAGTCGGTTTTTTAGAAATCGGTTTTATATATTCGAGTGTGTGTCCCCCCACAGAAAATGCTCTAAGTGCATTAAGTGCATTAACTCGGTGGAGTGCTTCCACAGTACCGAGGCTAGAGTCGACTTCCGGAGCGTTGCACTGTGGATAGCTATCCCACAGTTCCCGCAGTCTCCGCTGCCCATTGGAATTCTGGGTTGAGATCCCAATGCCTGATGGGGCTAAAACATTGTCGCGGGTGGTTCTGGGTACATATCGTCAGGCCCCCCTTCCCTCCCTCCCTCTGTGAAAGCAAGGGCAGACAATCGTTTCGCGCCTTTTTTCCTGAGTTACCTGTGCAGACGCCATACCACGGCAAGCATGGAGCCCGCTCAGGTAACCGTCACCCTATGACTCCTGGGGGCTGGCAGACGCGGTACGGCTTTGCTACACAGTAGCAGCAACCCATTGCCTTGTGGCAGCAGACGGTACAGTACGACTGGTAGCCATCATCGTCATGTCCGAGGTGCTCCTGGCCACGTCGGCTGGGAGCGCCTGGACAGACATGGGTGCAGGGACTAAATTTGGAGTGACTTGACCAGGTCATTCTCTTTAGTCCTGCAGTCAGTCCTATTGAACCGTCTTATGGTGAGCAGGCAGGCGATACGGATTGCTAGCAGTTGTACTGTACCATCTCATGGTCACGTGAGTGATCAGGACATGGACACAGATTTCTCTGAAAGCATGGGCCCTGCCAATGCATGCATCATGGTGCTAGTGGGGGAGGTTCATGCTGTGGAACGCTGATTCTGGGCTCAGGAAACAAGCACAGACTGGTGGGACCGCATAGTGTTGCATGTCTGGGACGATTCCCAGTGGCTGCGAAACTTTCGCATGCGTAAGGGCACTTTCATAGAACTTTGTGACTTGCTTTCCCCTGCCCTGAAGCGCATGAATACCAAGATGAGAGCAGCCCTCACAGTTGAGAAGCGAGTGGCGATAGCCCTGTGGAAGCTTGCAACGCCAGACAGCTACCGGTCAGTTGGGAATCAATTTGGAGTGGGCAAATCTACTGTGGGGGCTGCTGTGATGCAAGTAGCCCACGCAATCAAAGATCTGCTGATATCAAGGGTAGTGACCCTGGGAAATGTGCAGGTCATAGTGGATGGCTTTGCTGCAATGGGATTCCCTAACTGTGGTGGGGCCATAGACGGAACGCATATCCCTATCTGGGCACCGGAGCACCAAGCCGCCGAGTACATAAACCGCAAGGGGTACTTTTCGATAGTGCTGCAAGCTCTGGTGGATCACAAGGGACGTTTCACCAGCATCAACGTGGGATGGCCAGGAAAGGTACATGACGCTCGCATCTTCAGGAACTCTGGTCTGTTTCAAAAGCTGCAGGAAGGGACTTTATTCCCAGACCACAAAATAACTGTTGGGGATGTTGAAATGCCTATATGTATCTTTGAGGACCCAGCCTACCCCTTAATGCCATGGCTCATGAAGCCGTACACAGGCGGCCTGGACAGTAGTCAGGAGCTGTTCAACTACAGGCTGAGCAAGTGCAGAATGGTGGTAGAATGTGCATTTGGACGTTTAAAGGCGCGCTGGCGCAGTTTACTGACTCGCTTAGACCTCAGCGAAACCAATATTCCCACTGTTATTACTGCTTGCTGTGTGCTCCACAATATCTGTGAGAGTAAGGGGGAGACGTTTATGGCGGGGTGGGAGGTTGAGGCAAATTGCCTGGCTGCTGGTTACGCGCAGCCAGACACCAGGGCGGTTAGAAGAGCACAGGAGGGCGCGGTACGCATCAGAGAAGCTTTGAAAACCAGTTTCATGACTGGCCAGGCTACGTGTGAAAGTTCTGTTTGTTTCTCCTTGATGAAACCCCCCGCCCCTTGGTTCACTCTACTTCCCTGTAAGCTAACCACCCGCCCCTCCTCCCATCAATCACCGCTTGCATAGGCAATAAAGTCATTGTTGCTTCACATTCATGCATTCTTTATTCATTCATCACACAAATAGGGGGATGACAACCAAGGTAGCCCAGGAGGGGTGGTGGAGGAGGGAAGGAAAATGCAACACAGCACTTTAAGCACAGCACTTTAAAAGTTTACAACTTTAAAATTTATTGAATGACAGCCTTCTTTTTTTTGGGCAATCCTCTGTGGTGGGGTGGCTGGTTGGCCGGAGGCCCCCCCACCGCGTTCTTGGGCGTCTGGGTGTGGAGGCTATGGAACTTGGGGAGGAGGGCGGTTGGTTACTCAGGGGCTGCAGTGGCAGTCTGTGCTCCAGCTGCCTTTGCTGCAGCTCAACCATACACTGGAGCATACTGGTTTGGTCCGCCAGCAGCCTCAACATTGAATCCTGCCTCCTCTCATCATGCTGCCGCCACATTTGAGCTTCAGCCCTCTCTTCAGCCCACCACTTACTCTCTTCAGCCCGCCACCTCTCCTCCCGGTCATTTTGTGCTTTCCTGCACTCTGACATTATTTGCCTCCACGCATTCGTCTGTGCTCTGTCAGTGTGGGAGGACAGCATGAGCTCGGAGAACATTTCATCGTGAGTGCAGTTTTTTTTTCTTTCTAAGCTTCACTAGTGTCTGGGAAGGAGAAGATCCTGTGATCATTGAAACACATGCAGCTGGTGGAGAAAAAAAAAGGGACAGCGGTATTTAAAAAGACATATTTTATAAAACAGTGGCTACACTCTTTCAGGGTAAACCTTGCTGTTAACATTACATACATAGCACATGTGCTTTTGTTACAAGGTCGCATTTTGCCTCCCTCCACCGCGTGGCTACCCCCTCAACCTTCCCCCCCTCCCTGTGGCTGACAGCGGGGAACATTTCTGTTGAGCCACAGGCAAACAGCCCAGCAGGAATGGGCTCCTCTGAGTGTCCCCTGAAGAAAAGCACTCTATTTCAACCAGGTGACCATGAATTATATCTCACTCTCCTGAGGATAACACAGAGAGATAAAGAACGGATGTCGTTTGAATGCCAGCAAACATACACTGCAATGCTTTGTTCTGCAATGATTCCCGAGTACGTGTTACTGGCCTGGAGTGGTAAAGTGTCCTACCATGAAGGACGCAATAAGGCTGCCCTCCCCAGAAACCTTTTGCAAAGGCTTTAGGAGTACATCTAGGAGAACCGCGAATGCCAGGGCAAAGTAATCCTTTCACATGCTTGCTTTTAAACCATGTATAGTATTTTAAAAGGTACACTCACCAGAGGTCCCTTCTCCGCCTGCTGGGTCCAGGAGGCAGCCTTGGGTGGGTTCGGGGGGTACTGGCTCCAGGTCCAGGGTGAGAAACAGTTCCTGGCTGTCGGGAAAACTGGTTTCTCCGCTTGCTTGCTGTGAGCTATCTACAACTTCCTCCTCCTCCTCATCATCTTCTTCGTCCCCAAAACCTGCTTCCATATTGCCTCCATCTCCATGGAAGGAGTCAAACAACATGGCTGAGGTAGTGGTGGCTGAACCCCCTAAAATGGCATGAAGCTGATCATAGAAGCGGCATGTTTGGGGCTCTGACCCGGAGCGGCCGTTCGCCTCTCTGGTTTTCTGGTAGGCTTGCCTCAGCTCCTTCAGTTTCACGCGGCACTGCTTTGGGTCCCTGTTATGGCCTCTGTCCTTCATGCCTTGGGAGATTTTGACAAAGGTTTTGGCATTTCGAAAACTGGAACGGAGTTCTGATAGCACGGATTCCTCTCCCCAAACAGCGATCAGATCCCGTACCTCCCGTTCGGTCCATGCTGGAGCTCTTTTGCGATTCTGGGACTCCATCATGGTCACCTGTGCTGATGAGCTCTGCATAGTCACCTGCAGCTTGCCACGCTGGCCAAACAGGAAATGAGATTCAAAAGTTCGCGGTTCTTTTCCTGTCTACCTGGCCAGTGCATCTGAGTTGAGAGTGCTGTCCAGAGCGGTCATAATGGAGCACTCTGGGATAGCTCCCGGAGGCCAATACCATCGAATTGTGTCCACAGTACCCCAAATTCGAGCCGGCAAGGTCGATTTAAGCGCTAATCCACTTGTCAGGGGTGGAGTAAGGAAATCGATTTTAAGAGCCCTTTAAGTCGAAATAAAGGGCTTCATTGTGTGGAGGGGTGCGGGTTTACATCGATTTAATGCTGCTAAATTCGACCTAAAGTCCTAGTGTAGACCAGGGCATAGGTGCAAAAGCAAGAAGTGCCCCCAGTGTTATCAGAAGACAGACAGCATAGATAGCCATGAATGTTATATGTGTAACAATTGTTCTCCAGAACAGGGGGAGGATTATGTCTTTTATGACTTTGAATGAATGCAAGAACGGGGTACACGTGCCAAATTATGTCTTCACCATGCATTTAGATAAAGAATCCAGCGGGGAATTTAAAGGGGACGAATGTGTCAGCAAGTTTGTTCAAACTTTTGTAGACAAACGTTTTAAGGGTTTGACTTTTATTGCTCATAATGCTAAAGGTTACAACAGTTGTTTCATACTTAGACAACTGATTAAGGGAAAAATGACCTTCAGCAGTGTCATGCAGGATAGAAAACTGTGTGACTGGGGGGACTTAAAAATCAGATTTATAGATTCTTTAAATTTTCTGCCCACGAACCTCAGCAAGTTACCTAAGGCTCTGGCGTTCGAAGGAGTCAAGGGGTACTTTCAACATTTTTTTAACACCACTGAAAATCAAAAATATGTGGGCCCTTTGTGCAGGGTAGAACACTTTGTGGGTAGAACACATGAGGTCTGGGGAGAGCGAGAGAGAAATTTCTGAACTGGTGCCAACACAATCACCAGAATGAATTTGATCTCCAGAAAGAACTGAGCTATTATTGCCAGAAAGAGGTTGACATTTTGTGAGAGACTTGTGGCCGGTTCAGAAAAAAAGTCATGAAAATGACAAGGATGCAACTTGTTAACAGCTTGAGGTAGGACAGTGAGGAGGTGGTGACTACGTGTACAGACCCCTTTAAATACACTACAGTAGAGTCAATATGCATGGCCATGTTCTGGTTTAATTTTTTAAAACTGAGAACCCTTTTGCCACCATAAGCAGCACAAGAGATATTCCACGCCTGCCATTCAATAACTGATGTAAATGGCCCACATAGATTTCAGAGTAGCAGCCGTGTTAGTTTGTAGTTGCAAAAAGAAAAGGAGGACTTGTGGCACCTTAGAGACTAACAAATTTATTTGAGCATAAGCTTTCGTGAGCTACAGCTCACCTCATCGGATGCATTCAGTGGAAAATACAGTGGGGAGATTTATATACATAGAGAACGTGAAACAATGGGTGTTACCATACACAGTGTAAGGAGAGTGATCACTTAAGGTGAGCTATTACCAGCAGGAGAGCCAGGGTGCGGGGGGAAACTTTTGTAGTGATAATCAAGGTGGGCCATTTCCAGCAGTTGACAAGAACGTCTGAGGAACAGTGCGGGGTGGGGAGGGGGATAAACATGGGGAAATAGTTTTACTTTGTGTAATGACCCATCCACTCCCAGTCTCTATTCAAGCCTAAGTTAATTGTATCCAGTTTGCAAATTAAAGCAAATACTCACCAGCAACCACATACCACACAACAGAACCACTAACCCAGGAACCTATCCTTGTAACAAAGCCCATTGCCAACTCTGTCCACATATCTATTCAGGGGACACCATCATAGGGCCTAATCACATCAGCCACACTATCAGAGGCTCGTTCACCTGCACATCTACCAATGTGATATATGCCATCATGTGCCAGCAATGCCCCTCTGCCATGTACATTGGTCAAACTGGACAGTCTCTACGTAAAAGAATAAATGGACACAAATCAGACGTCAAGAATTATAACATTCAAAAACCAGTTGGAGAACACTTCAATCTCTCTGGTCACTCATTTCAGACCTAAAAGTGGCAATTCTTCAACAAAAAAACTTCAAAAACAGACTCCAACGAGAGACTGCTGAATTGGAATTAATTTGCAAACTGGATACAATTAATTTAGGCTTGAATAGAGACTGGGAGTGGATGGGTCATTACACAAAGTAAAATTATTTCCCCATGTTTATCTCCCTCCCCACCCCCCACTGTTCCTCAGACGTTCTTGTCAACTGCTGGAAATGGCCCACCTTGATTATCACTACAAAAGGTTTCCCCTGCACCTCCCCCCTGCTCTCCTGCTGGTAATAGCTCACCTTAAGTGATCACTCTTCTTACAGTGTGTATGGTAACACCAATTTTTTCATGTTCTCTGTGTATATAAATCTCCCCACTGTATTTTCCACTGAATGCATCCGATGAAGTGAGCTGTAGCTCACGAAAGCTTATGCTCAAATAAATTTATTAGTCTCTAAGGTGCCACAAGTACTCCTTTTCTTTTGGCCCACATAGAGAACATCCATATCCAGCATGTTTTGCAGGGTGGGGAATTTAAAGTAGGGTCCTATTTCTTAGATTGTTATGGTGTCATAGCTGGTAATGGCTGCTTTCTTCACACTGCTGGGAGAATGACTGCAACCCGCTGCTTAATGCAACATATGGACAGTTGTACAGTTGAACCCTCATTAAGTCCTAATTTCTTAGAAATCAGGAGTATGAGGTGAGGATGATATGGAACATGGATGGAAAGCCTTGTTAAAAAGCAATAATCAGGTGGGGGATTTATTAATTTGAAAAAAAACATGTCACGGCCTTTGGTTCCTAGACACACCTTTTACAGAGTTAGAACAAACAGTATCTGTCTGTATTACAAACTGCAGCCCAGGAAGCATATTCATTACTATGATTTTACCAGCTTCTGCCCTTTTGTTAACAATATTAAGAAGTACCCCATGGGGCACCCTGTCATCGTATGGGAGGATTTGGAGGATCTCAGACAGTCCATTGGTGTGATGTTCCCCTCTGGTATTATCTGGACCTGTGATCTGCTAGGTCACTCCAATCCTTGACTCTGGGAGCCAGCCTTACCCTGCTGTGCTGTGAGAACCCCCACTCCTGGGCTGTTC